ATGTCTTTTTAGCTTAGCTTAGCACAAAGACTAGAAACAGGGGGAAACTGCTAGCCTGGCTCTGTCCGAAGTTTGCTAAACCTGCCTACCAGCACCTCTCACAAATTAAAGATGTTGTATCTTGTTTGTTTGAACTGCACAAATGACAGCAAGTTATTGTTTTTGCGTAGGCTGTTTATTGGACTATTTATTGGCTGGATGCAGTGACTTCCAGCCAGGCTAGCTGTTTGCCCCTGCTTCCAGTCTTTATGCTAAGCTAAGCTAACTATCTCCCGGGCCCATCTTCAGTGGAAGACTCATCAGTCTTTCTCATCTAACTCTTGGCAAGAAAGCAAACATTTCCTAGAATGTCGCACTAATTATATCATCGGGAGTGATGGGACATACTGTACCGAAGAAATGTGATATAATAATAATTCTACACCGATCCGTCTCCCACCACTTGTCCGTCATGCTTTAATACTTTGGCCGGTCTGAGCGATACACAGATATGGAATTGCATTCTGCGTGGGCCTAAATTTAACTCGGCGTGAACCCTGCAGAAACCGTGTCATTTACGGCGCGTTGGGAGGGAAGGAGTTAAGTTTGGTTGCTATGCAGTGCTCGGCGCTGTATTATGCAAGCTGTGAAGCTCAGACACAGAGAGAGGAAGTGCATTACAGAATGCTGAGCTCAGGGCTTTGGCTCGCCGCCAAGCATACACTCCTGCATGTGCACACACACACACACTCCCACACTCTCAGCTGAGGGCATACCGATTTTTCCAGCAGCACAGCGGTCTCCTCCTCCTCCTCCTGCTCCTCGAGTCACTCTCTCTCTTTCTGTTACGTCAGTAGTTCAGCTGTGGGCCAGGCATGACTGGGGCAGGCGGAGAGCACCGTGCATTTCTTTCTCTCTCTGTGTGTGTGTGTGTTTTAAAAAGACAGGATGTGGACTTGGTGGTTGGGTGATCCAGTGCTCAGCAGGAAAAGAACAGCAGCCCTAAGAAGTCGTTTTTTCTCTATTTCTATACACAAGTTTCACTCTCAGACATGGTCTTATAGCCTCTCTGTTGTTTTTTTTTTTTGCTCAGTTCGATATCACACAGCTCCACCACATATGCAGAGAAACACCTACTCTGTTTACAACGTTCTTCCACCCAGCAGGGGTGATATGTGTCAGCTATGTGGTGTGTGTCACATGTATGAGAACATTTGAGCAAAGTGGAAATCCAATCTTCTAGCTAATGTTCCAGGGTGAACAGCGCTGATAGTATTCTGTGCACATATCGAGCTGTTAGTCAGACTTGTATAACATGAAAAAAAATGCTAATTTTATCAGATTTTGTGACTTTTTTAAAGTTTATTTACCATGCCTGTGCAGTATTTTGACCGCTGATAATATGTGACACTATTACTATAGATAATGATGGTGGCCCACAGTGTGTCGATCTATTTGTACGGCACTATTTCGTGTCACAGAATCTGAGCGGTCACTGATTTCGATGCAGAACTGACAATCAGACATATGCAGGGTGGTAATAATTCAATATAATTCACAATACTGGGTTCATATTATGATTTTATCATGTTTCTTTACATTCCTAGACACAGGAAATGTTAGCTACAATGTTAAGTAGGGCTGGTAATATGGTGAAAAAGTCATATCGGCGATATTTTGACTGTTATATGATCATTTTTGACACAAAATTTTGTTTAATTTAATAACAATTTAAATTTTGATGATGATGATGATAAAAACTTTTAAATTCATGATGATGTGACATTTTTTAGGGATGTGGGATGGGAAGATTAGTAGGTCAGGGCATCTTTGCAGAACTACAGTGCTTCAATATAATGCTGTTTGTCACACATTTCACCTTTTTATCAAAACATTGCAGCTTCTGTGATTTGTATATCGAACTCTACCATATGGCGATTTGTTTGGCATTCATTTGGTAGTCGACAGTGTAGATAAAGTCAGGACCCAGGAGCTTATGGCGGCTAAAGTTAGCAACCTTTACTTCTGTGTCACTGCTACCACATTTAAAGAAACAGTTTGACAGTTAGAGCGCTGGATGAAAACCTCTCTCGTGCCTGTACGGAAATGATGTAGCCAAAGCTAGCAGCTGGTTAGCTTAGCTTAGCACAAATACTGTAAACAGAGGGAAACAGCTAGCCTAGCTCTGTCAAAAGGCAACAAAGTTTAGCTTAAGCTCACTAATTAACACATGTTTGTTTAATTTACACAAAATCCAAAGTATAAAAATGGCAATTCAATGTTTTATGTAGGTCGTGTGTCGGACTATTTCTTTTTTTACACTTTGGTTGCTGTTCTGCAAACATACATAATATGTGAGCAGCATTGCAACAACCACGTGAATCAGAATCAGAATCAGAAATACTTTAATAATCCCCGTGGGGAAATTACTTAACAACACCTTTTAAAGCAGAAATTTGATCAGACGTTGAGTACCAGCACTGGTTTCTGTCTTTTTCTGTCTCCTCCCAGTCGATTTAAACTCCCCAACAGACCAGTTTTGACTGATGGAAGGTTTTTTAAGGTTTTTTTTTTTTTTAATGCAACATTTTTCCATTTTCTCTGCTTCAGTCTACCAACTAAAAACGTTGTCTGTCATCTGTCACTGTCTGGCATCGAGGATTTATCAGCCACACAGTCTCTCAGTTCGCATGACAACATGATGCAAGAAGTACATCATGTTGCTGTGGTTGTGTTTCTCACCTTGTTATACAAAAAAATGTTGTCTATGTCAAAATACTTTTGTCAAACCTGTCTGGAGTTCAGTCAGACTAGAGGTTGCACACACCTTTGAAACAATTGGTCTTATATGTTGTTGAGTGTTACAAGTACATTTATTCAACTACTGTACTTATATATAATTTTGAGGTACTTTCACTACAATTAAGAAGCAACTATTGAACCTTTTCACTCCGCTACATTCATTTGATAACTTTAGTTTCCTTCCAGATTCAGATTAATAATACAAAATTTAATCCATTATTGCATTTATGAATAAGTTATATTATTATATCAATAAGACTTTGTTGATCCTCAGAGGGAGATTCACGAGCTACCCAGCCGTATATAAAGTCATATAAATACATTTAAATTAGCTCCACCTTTAGCAGCTGCACAAGTGATGAACACATAAATGCATCAATAATCCTAATCTAATTATATAATAAACATTATTATGAAGAAATTGATACTTAAACTATATTTTGATGATTTGGAAGGAAATATCTATAATTTCTACATCAGAATCAGGTTTATTGCCAAGTAGTAAATGTAGAAACATTTAAATAAAGATAAAAAATATAGACAGTAAGATGAGTTTGCAGTATGACGCATTAAGGTTATTTCCAATGTGCAAGATAAAATCCAACGGAAGTGCATTAATGTAACGTTTACTATAATTTTGTGTTGATTCTGGCGCCCCCTGTGGACAGGCGCAGTAGTGTTTCTACCGCCTCGTTTCCTTGATTTCTTGGGGAATCCGACCTGATGGCAGGCATTAAGAATAACTAGAAACAGCCAATCTTCTCGCTGATGGTCTCGAGTGTTTATATAGGTCATATAGAGGCATCAGCATTAAGGTGAGACTGAGTCAGAGTTACTTCTTCCACCACTGGAGCGTTATCTATTTAAAGAACTGTGTGCCCCCTACAGTAAAACTGAGACAGTACAGACGTTCATGGTGCAGAATGTACTCGGATGATAAAGTGCATCAGTTTTGCTCTGAGTGTCTGACACCATTTGTTATCACTGGTAACCCACTAACCCAGTCACACAGTCAGTCCACTTCCTGCCATTGCTGACGCAATGTGGTCATGAAGTCTTTGCTCCACAGTCATGTTTTGCTGACACATGTCCATCTGCTCTGTCTGGGTTTTTTTTGTTCAAATGGAAGATGACGGCGCTGTTGCCTGGTCACGTGTGGTATCAGAAAGCATTTGTATCGGGGTGTATTTTTTTATGTCAGATACCGAAGCTTGAAGAAATATGACTTCCAGAAGTAACTTTCAGGCCATGTCCACATTGAAATCTGCCTCTCCGTCTATGTTTCCCCCTCTCCAAACACGCATGGAGACCTATAGGTTGTAGCTTGTGTGAGGGCCATAGGTTCACCATACAATAGCGGGTCTCTCTGCCTGTGGTGAAACGATCCCGTCAGCCCGTCAGAGGGTGGAGGCGTTCAGGGTAAGGTAAGCACTGGAGGTGTTGTGGAAGGGAAATGAAAAGGAAATGAGAATATTTGGGTCTTTGCGCTCGCCTCCCAGTCCTTTTCCTCGCTGGTCTTTTACTGTTTTCACCTCGCCAGCACTTCCCCCCGACCGGATCAAAGTTAGGTTGAAACACATTGCCAGGGAGGTTTGATGTTTCTTCAAGAGCGCAAAGTACGGATAGACCGATGATCGGATTATCTGTATCGTTATTTCTTTTATCTGATTGCCTTTCTGCTGCCTTTCTCTGTCTGTCTGTAGTCGGTACTTTATATTCTTACTCATTGATTGGTTATTGATTGGTTACACATAATATCAATAACACTGACAGCTGCTGGCCCACATTCGGGGACAACTACCTCAACATAGTATTTGAGTATTAGTAATCGGTATCTGGAAAATCATATTGGTCGATCCATAGTGGAATGAATCAAGTGTCCTATTTTTATTTTTTTGGCATTTAAAGCGGCTTTAATTGATGATCCCACAGATAATCATCACCCGACTCCGCAGTTGTGTTTTTGTTACCTTAGAAACGTTTTTATCTACAGACGCTGCTCGCCATCCGTGGAGTCCGCCATGTTTCTACAGTAGCCACGGTTTCACAGTTTGTCCTACACGCCTGTAAGGCTGAGCTGCAATCTGCAACTTCACCACTAGTTGCCACTGAATCCTACACATTGGTCCTTTAAGCGTGTTTATTTTAAGTTTTGATGAAAGTTCTTCAGTGTAGCAGATGATTAACAGGAAATGTTCTCTCTGTTCTCCCCCCTGCAGGGTTCCACCTCAGCGGCACAGTTAGGGAACCCGCCACGTCCTCGGAGCCGGAGCTGGTCTGCAACGTGAGCGTCAGCTTCGACCGCTGCAAAATCACAGCTGTAACCTGCAGCTGCGGCAACAAGGACATCTTTTACTGCGCCCACGTCGTGGCGCTCTCGCTGTACCGGGTACGGAAGCCCGAGCAGGTCAAGCTGCGCCTGCCCATCTCAGAGACTCTATTCCAGATGAACAGAGATCAGCTGCAGAAGTTCGTTCAGTACCTGATCACGGTGCATCACACCGAGGTGCTGCCGACCGCACAGAAACTGGCCGATGAAATCCTGTCGCAGAACTCAGAGATCAACCAGGTCCACGGTGAGTTCAGGGGCTTTGATAAGGGTTGTTATTTGGGCTTTCAGTGGAAGAACTCCTCACTTTAACATGCGTACAG